ATCACGGAATCCAGACATGAAAACAGATTTCAACAGTATTCAAAAGTGTGTTGAATTTAGTCTAATATTAATCAAATGTATTGAAAATGTGTTTATTTGCAGAAGTTTCTCACAAGATATTAAAATAATCCATCAGTTATTTTTTCCCCTGATACTTTCTGAAGAAGCAATGGCATGGGAATGCCCATCTGTGTGGTGGCCGCACTTTGTGTAGCCAATTAGAGACGCTAATGATAACTGTATTGTGGGTATTGTAATTTTGACAGTGAAAAAGAAAAGAAACTGAGAAAAAAAATCTGAAACCAGAAAAAATATAAGCGAGAAAACGTAACTTGGGAAAATACTAAAATGAATTTGACAAAAAATATAACCGATTGTACATTTTGCATTTGTACTCAGAAATATTTTCCAATTTGGGGTGCCTGATTTGGGATGTTCTTTTGAGGAAAACCATGTAATGAGTATATTTTCTTCTCAAGATCAGTAACAAATTAATACAACAATACCAATGTACCCATGGTTTCTACAAATTGTCATCTGATGTATTAAACATTTTCTTATCAACATTCAAATTAACAAGGTCATTGCTTGTAGGCATAGCCTATGTCTCTCCAGACGAGAAAATGTCAGATATTTTCAATGAGCAATTGTAACCTAGGGCTGAATTCAATCAAATCTGCCGTAGCAATATTTATGTAGTATCCTTGTGTACACAACTTCTGTCATGTACAAGTGTCTTAATCTGCTGTTTTTACCAAAACCATTTTGCCGTTTTGTTTAGCACTTTGTGACAACTGCTGATGTAAAAAGGGCTTTATAAAATACATTTGATTGATTAATTGTTTGTAAGGGAAATAGTATATTTGTATACATGCTACTGCTTCAATATTGCAATGGGGTTTGATTGAATTGAGATCCTTGATAATTGCAGTCCATTTATAAGAATTATGGTGGTCAACAACAAAAGTTCCTCATAACACAAGAACTTTAACTTACATTTTACAATGCTTTTGATTATGGTCTCAATTGACTTACAGTAATATGCATTATAGAGAGAGGATTTAAGTCACAATGTAAATACAGCTTTATGCACAAGCTATTGAAGAGATATACACTCAGTGGCCAGTTTATTAGGTACCCCTTTCATGAAAATGGTTTGCTCCTACAGACAGTGAGTCACGTGGCCGTGGCTTGCTGTATAAAGAAGGCAGACAGGCATCGAGACATTCCGTTACTGTTCGATTTAATGTTAGGATGGGCAAAGCGAGTGACCTAAGCGACTTTGAGCGTGGTATGATTGTCGGTGCCAGGCGCGCCGGTTCCGGTATCTCAGAAACGTCCGGCCTCCTGGGCTTTTCACGCACGACAGTGTCTAGGGATTACCAAGAATGGTGTGACAAACAAAAAACATCCAGTCAGCGGCAGTTCTGTGGGTGAAAACAGCTCATTGATGAGAGATCAAAGGAGAATGGCAAGAATCGTGCAAGCTAACAGGCGGGCCACAAACAGGTAAATAGCGGCGCAGTACAACAGTGGTGTGCAGAACGGCATCTCGGAACGCACAACTCGTTGGTCCTTGTCACAGATGGACAATAGCAGCAGACGACCACACCGGGTTCCACTCCTATCAGCTAAAAACAAGAAGAAGCGGCTCTAGTGGGCATGCGATCAGCAACACTGGACAATTGAGGAGTGGAAAAACATAGCCTGGTCCGATGAATCCTGGTTCCTGTTGCGTCATACTGATGGCAGAATCAGGATTTGGCCCCATCCTGCCTGGTGTGAACAGTACAGGCTGGTGGCGGTGGTGTAATGGTGTGGGTAATGTTTTCCTGGCACACGTTAGGCCCCTTGATACCAATTGAGCAATGTTTCCATACCCTGAAGAATTCAGGCTGTTCTGGAGGCAAAGGGGGTCTGATCCGGTACTAGATGGGTGTACCTAATATACTGTCCACTGAGTGTATGACAGCACTATACTTGACAAGTTTTCTGCATGCCCAGCATAGACTATTTTTTGCATGCATAACATGCATGTGTCTGAGAATGAGTGCAATTGTTGTGAAGGATGCATGCTATTGCCATTTATGGTGATAAAACAACAACAACAAAAAAACTAAAATTCTCTCGTTTCATCCCTGGACATTTTTATGGTGTCAGGCAAAGAAAAGTCAAATTCACAAGTGTAATCAATTACTGCTTAAAATCTGAGAAGCATTTGTATTGTAACACAAATTCATTACAGTGTTGATTAGTGCTAGCTGTTTTCAGTCTGGAGTCATACATATTCTAATTAAGCAGCTATGGTGTTGTTATAAATGGGTTAACACCTGCAAGTAATTGCATGGTGCATGTGAAGTGTATTCAGACAACCCATTCTTTCCACAGCCTATTTAGACCAAGTTGCTTCCCAGAAAATTAAATGTAACATTACTGGTTAATCAAATCTTGAACCACATTTTAATCATTTAGCAGACGCTCTTATCTAGAGTGACTTACAGGAGCAATTAGGGTTAAGTGCCTTGCACATTAACAGATTTTTCACCTTGTCAGCTCGGGGATTCAAACCAGCAATCTTTCAGTTACTGGCCCAAAGCTCTAACCGCTAGGCTACCAACATTTGTTCAGTCAGATGTCGAAGGCCATGAAAATGGGATCTTTCTGGAGTTTTTTCTGTTTTCAAGAAATCTACATGAAGAATTCAGCATTTTAAAGGCATATAATTACATTCTTAATATGATAATGCATTTCACCTAATCTAAAATATGAAACTGTTTGATTTTATGAAGTAATTTAAGCCAGAGCTGGAATATAAAAACAAAGACAGGGAATTAAACTATTGTTTTGTGCTATCCTTGAATCCAAAGTGTTATTTTGTTGAGGTATCTGAACAAAAATGTCACATTCACTTAGTTTGTACTAATGACTGTATATGAATGGACAAAGCCATTGATCACGTGACACAATTCATTCCTATGTGAAGACTCAATAGCGCATTTGAAGCCAAGGAAGTCTGTTAAGATGGCGTCTCATGGGTACATACTGTAACATGCGCAGTTTGAGCTACTCCAGGAAGTGACATTACAGGCTAGCTCTGTGCTGCCCCCTCTCATTGTGTAACTCATGTTGAAGGTTGACCGGGATACTGCAGGCTGCCATTAGCAACTAAATTGTCTTTATAATTTCTTCTGTGTGCAATTTTAAAATAATTTGTTCAGGGACATGCATCTGGTGTAATAGAGGCAATTATTGGCACCATGATTGTGTTATTATTTTACACGAAGATAGCCATTTTCCCATTCACTATAATGGGGGATCCTGTTTTCTGCAGACAATGCCTGCAGTACCGCAGTCGGCCTTGTACTTCGTGGCTTCAACGAGAGGAGGCATTCGTTCTCCCCTAGTTTGAACATTGTTTGCATTTAATGGACCTTATGATATACATATTATTATTTTTTTTTACTACTTTTCTAAACAAGCAAATATATAAAATATTGTATAATTTATTTTATTTTATCAGCTGATTTATCAAACACACGTGTCTGGAAAGACGATTCTCTTCCTCAAAAGTGTGCAGCGAATTCTACTAGATGAAAAGCCAAAATGAGTATAACATCCTGGCATCTAAAGCATACTAGATTTTTGAAATTTCACATTCTATAAAATGTTATAATTTTGCATACCTAAATGCTTACTGTTTAGAACGCAAGTATGGGTATTCAGACACGGCCATTGTTTGAACTATTTGACTTGACTCAATCTAAACTAATGAAATGTTAACATGCTTTTAAAGGTAGAATGGCATATGTGGGATTACTCTGAACACAATAACTATCATAATTGCACTGAAATTGCCAAAATGTACACCTACTTGACAGTTACAAAGGGCCACATGAATTTAGCATGCATTGTTTTCAATAAAGATTCAATCATTCTAACATCTACAAACACATGGAGCATGCACCTCTGTATGTTCTGATGATGAACTAAAGAATGCAAATATTCAGGCCATGTTAAACCTTAGAAGAGGATTTTCAGCATTGAGAGATTGAGTATGTTCAGTTTGACCAACTAACTTTGGCACAGTATTGTCATGTGTGAAGCAAAATAGTCATCTGAAACTACATGCAGACAAAATGTGCAGCCAAGTTGTAGAAGGTTTCATACTATAATTTACTTTTAAATTACTCACTGCCACTGAAAATATTCTGAAAAGTTATTAATTGCAATTGTCTCGCTCTGTGTGTCTGGAATTAGTTAATCACTTTGGGTGAATAGATGGAAGTATGATGGTACCATTAGAATTACTGTTTGTTCACTACCTAAATAACTAGCAAGAAAGTTTTAAATACTGTACAATACATTTAGCGATGTATGCATTGTATATGTATATTGAAAATAGCATTCTATTACACCATAGTCACAGTCAGATACAACCATTGAGCAGTTAGCTAGTAAATACAGATAGACTACTGTGTATGTAAGAGTATGCTGCAAACAACTATTTCACGTTCCTTTTGGTAATAAAAAAAATTGCATAGCACAATCTCATCAAAGTTCCTAAAGTAGAGATATGCATAGATATGTTTAACTGTTTATGCATTTGTTTAGTTTTGTCTTCATTGATTCAATGGATGATATTCTTCTGTTTCTTACATTTGACATAACACTACTAGTCTTGTGTGATTTATTTTTCTTGAAATACAGGACAGATTGAAATACAGGACAGATTGGGCCGTCAACAAGGTGACACCTTGCAACGCTTGAAATAAATGCTAAAACCTTGCAGCCCATCTGAGAAAATGATCTCAATTATGTCTGATAAGCGGCTAAACTACTGTAATGATGCAATGATTTCAAAAATGGTACATTGAGCTATTTAAAAAAAAAGGAGAGGGAGAAAACATTACAAGGGAAACACTACAGAGCCTTGGCTGAAGTATATAGAGGCAGCTTGGATCAGATGTTCTCAGTATGATGGCAAATCCTGCTATTTGCTACTTGTGGAACAGGATTGGTTTGGCCAAGCCTGCCAGGATCTTTGGCAAATGTACTGAGATTATCTCTGCAATCATCTCTGGAAAGTTGACCTTGGTGGGAAGAGACTGGGCCTGGACAAACAGATCAAATGTAAACTGCTGGAGTTTCCTCACGACCTGGGGGTTGGAAAGATGGACAGAGACAAGACAAAGTTACAATTCTGTCACATTCTACGATTTTGCTCTGGAAAACATTAAGTAAGAATTTCATAACAGATAAAACATCATCATACATTCTATGACAACAGAATAAATCAAATACAGTTATTGAGGATGCACATTGTCTCTCACCGGTTGGAGGGAATCCATGAGATGGGTGAGTTGATACAACCTCTGAGAGCAGTTAGACTTCCTTCCATAGTTAATGACGCGATCAAGTTCATTGATGTAGGTCAGCCGCAATTCATCAAAGTACTTCTGACTCTTAAGACCATCCACTGGAACTGCAAAGGAGACAGCATGTAGTTGTTTTGTTCACAATATTGAATCTCTGTTCAACTATAAAAACACACTGTTTGGTTTCATCAATCGAAGCTACACTATACTGTATATACAAAAGTATGTGGACACCCCTTCAAATTAGTGGATTCGGCTATTTCAGCCACACCTGTTGCTGACAGGAGTATAAATCAAGCACACAGCCATGCAATTTCCATAGACAAACATTGGCAGTAGAATGGCCTTAATGAAGAGCTCAGTGACTTTCAACGTGGCACCGTCATAGGATGCCATCTTTCCAACAAGTCAGTTCGTGAAATTTCTGACTTGCTAGAGATGCCCTGGTCAACTGTAAGTGCTGTTATTGTGAAGTGGAAACGTCTAGGAGCAACAACGGCACAGCCGCGAAGTGGTAGGCCATACAAGCTCACCGCCGAGTGCTGAAGCACGTAGCGTGTAAAAATTGTCTGTTCTCTGTTGCAGCACTCACTACCGAGTTCCAAACTGCCTCTGGAAGCAACATCAGCACAAGAACTGTTCGTCGGGAGCTTCATGAAATGGGTTTCCATGGCCGAGCAGCCGCACACAAGCCTAAGATCACCATGCTCAATGCCAAACGTCGGCTGGAGTGGTGTAAAGCTTGCCGCCATTGGACTGTGGAGCAGACTCAATCACGCTGTACCATCTGGCAGTCCGACAGACAAATCTGGGTTTGCTTGATGCCAGGAGAACGCTACCTGCCCCAATGCATAGTGCCAACTGTAAAGTTTGGTGGAGGAGGAATAATGGTCTGGGGCTGTTTTTCATGGTTCGGGCTAGGCCTCTTAGTTCCAGTGAAGGGAAATCTTAACACTACAGCATACAATGACATTCTAGATGATTCTGTGCTTCCAACTTTGTGGCAACAGTTTGGGGAAGGCCCTTTCCTGTTTCAGCATGACAATGCCCCCGTGCACAAAGCGAGGTCCATATAGAAATGGTTTGTCGAGATCGGTGTGGGAGAACTTAACTGGCCTGCACAGAGCCCTGACCTCAACCCAATCGAGCACCTTTGGGATGAATTGGAACGCCGACTGCGAGCCAGGCCTAATCGCCCCAACATCAGTGCCCAACCTCACTAATGCTCTTGTGGCTGAATGGAAGCAAGTCCCCGCAGCAATGTTCCAACATCTAGTGGAAAGCTTTCCCAGAAGAGTGGAGGCTGTTATAGCAGCAAAGGGGGGGAACAACTCCATATTAATGCCCATGATTTTGGAATGAGATGTTCGACAAGCAGTTGTCCATATACTTTTGGTCATGTAGTGTATCTCAAATTGCTTGCAAGTCAATTTCATAAAAGAAGAAATACACAATGTGATGCTTTCTAAAGTATTTTAATGGACCTCTCAGCCTTCGGCTGGGCAGCAACACTCACTGATGCTGAAGAGGAGCAGGGCCTTCATGCAGAGGAACTCTTCCTGAGTGACTTGCAGCAGGACAAACTCTTGGGAGAGGTGTCTCATCCGTATGCAGTGATCGAACATGCTGGAGATGTGCATCCGATGGCTGGGGACGTGAGAAAAGAGAGGAGGGAGGGGGGCAGTGAGAGTCAGGGTGAGATACAGTATAATTAGAATGAGCCAATAAAAAGACCAGAGGGAGTGGGGTAGCCTATGGGGAATATATTAAGAGAGGGATCCTCTGTGAGTGTGTTGCTATGATATATATGGATAGAGGGGGCAAATAGATGAGAGGATATGATGGTGAGACCATTATGTGAAACTTTTGCAATGATTACAAAATTGTCATCCTCCCTCTTTATGACGATAGTTATATGCTCATATGTGACATTTGACCTACTGCCCAGTGGGCAAAGCTGCTTGAAATGATGTCATCTCAACCGGTATACATTTACATTTTAGTCATTTAGCAGACGCTCTTATCCAGAGCGACTTACATGAGCAATTAGGGTTAAGTTCCTTGCTCAAGAGCACATCAACAGATTTTTCACTTAGTCAGCTTGGGGATTAGAACCAGCGACCTTTCGGTTACTGGCACAACGCTCTTAACCACTAAGCTACCTGCTGTATACAGTCTGATAATACAGGATCGCAGTGATTGGTACTGAATGCTGCTGTTACACAGGTTTCCTGCAAATGTGACCTGATTATACATTATACATCTAATGTATAAATAATTTGCAGACCTATAGTAAGTGTTGAGGTGTAGTGACCTACATGTAGTTCAACTAGTAATGTAACTACATTTTGCAGGAGCTTGGAGGTAGTTGAACTAAACTCAAATCTTGGTAGTGTTTTCAGTAGTTAATAACTATTTTTTCCAAGTAGAGGTGTAGCTAACTACTGGAACTACACATAAACTTTTTTGCAAAAATAAAATATGGGTGAAGTAGGAAATAATTTCCTTTCTTTTTCGGCATCAGACCTGCCTCATTCTCACTTGAATCATAGTTTTTGTGTTTCATAGGCTAAACTACACATTCTGTTAACATCTGACTCCAAAGTGATCTGTTCTTGCAATTTGTAGTCTATGACATTTCAGATCTAGATATGATAAATATTACAAAGTAGTTTGGAAGTAGTGAACAATTTTTTCAAAGTAACTTCAGTTAAGTAAACTATATTTTACTCAAGGGTAGCTTTAGTGTAGCTTAACTTCTTCCAGTGTGAAGTGATTGGTAGCTTGGTAAACTATATTTTCAGAGTAGCTTCCCCAACATTTATTGTAGTGCATGGTAGTAGAAGGTTATATTCTCTACATCTTATTTAGCTAAGGTGTATGTAAACTTCTGACTTCAACTGTATTTCCATTAGTATATTACCAGAAGTACACTACATGGCTAAAAGTATGTGGACACCTGCTCGTCGAACATCTCATTCCAAACTCATGGGCATTAATATGGAGTTGGTCCCCCCTTTGCTGCTATAACAGCCTCCACTCTTCTGGGAAAGTTGGCACTATGCATTGGAACAGGTAGCGTACTCCTGGCGTCCGCCAAACTCAGTCCGACGGACTGCCAGATGGTGAAGCGTGATTCATCACTGCAGAGAACGCGTTTCCACTGCTCCAGAGTCCAATGGCGGCAAGCTTTACACCACTCGAGCCGACGCTTGGCATTGCGCATTGTGATTTTAGGCTTGTGTGCGGCTGCTCGGCCATGGAACACCATTTCATAAAGCTCCCGACGAACAGTTCTTGTACTGACGTTGCTTCCAGAGGCAGTTTGGAACTCGGTAGTGAGTGTTGCAACCGACAGATCATTTTTACGCACTACGCGCTTCAGCACTTGACGGTACCGTTCTGTGAGCTTGTGTGGCCTACCACTTCGCAGCTGAGCCATTGTTGCTCCTCTATGTTTCCCCTTCACAATAACAGCACTTACAGTTGACCGGGGCAGCTCTAGCAGGGCAGAAATTTCACGAACTGACTTGTTGGAAAGGTGGCATCCTATGACGGTGCCACATTGAAAGTCACTGAGCACTTCAGTAAGGCCATTCTACTGCCAATGTTTGTCTATGGAGATTGCATGGCTGTGTGCTCGATTTTATACACCTGTCAGCAACGGGTGTGGCTGAAATAGCCGAAACAAACTAATTTGAGGGGGTGTCCACATACTTTTGTATATATAGTGTAAATCTGTGCATATTCCTCAGTAATGAATTACTTTAAATGTCATTGAACTCCCTCAGTCACCTATGATACTAGCGTACACAGTAATATTCAGAAATGAACTAAATATCACTACTTCCCCTGACACCTGCACCATTTACAGTGCCTTCAGAAAGTATTCACACCCCTTGACTTTTTCAAAATGTTGCTTTGTTACAGCCTGAATTTAAAATTGATTAAATTGAGATTTGTTGTCAATGGCCTACACACAATACCCCATAATGTCAAAGTGGAATTATATTTTTAGACATTTGTACTAATTAATTACCAATGAAACGCTGAAATGTCTTGAGTCAATAAGTACTCAATCCCTTTATTATGCTAAGTCTCAATAAGTCCAGGAGTAAAAATATGCCTAACAATTTACATAATAAGTTGCATGGACTCACTCTGTGTGCAATAATAGTGTTTAGCATGATTTTTGAATGACTACCTCATCTCTGTACCCCACACATACAATTATCTGTAAGGTCCCTCAGTCGAACAGTTAATTTCAAACACAAAGACCAGGGTGGTTTTCCAATAACTCGCAAAGAAGGGCACCTATTGGTAGATGGGTAAAAATAAAAAATAAAGCAGGCATTGAATATCACTTTCGAGCATGGTGAAGTTATTAATTCACTACAAAGATACAGGCGTCCTTCCTTACTCAGTTGCCGTAGAGGAAGGAAACCGCTCAGGAATTTCACCATGAGGTCAATGGTGACTTTAAAACAGTTACAGAGTTTAATGGCTGTGATAGGAGAAAACTGAGGATGGATTAACAACATTGTAGTTACTTGACAATACTTACCTAATTGACAGAGTGAAAAGAAGGAAGCCTGTGCAGAAAGCAATTCACTTTTTGTCCTGAACACAAAGTGTTATGTTTGGGGCAAATCCAATACAACACATTACTGAGTACCACTCTCCATATTTTCATGCATAGTGGTGGCTGCATCATGTTATGAGTATGCTTGTAATCGTTAACGACTGTGGAGTTTTTCAGGATAAAAAAGAAATGGAATGGAGCTAAGCACAGACATAATCCTAGAGGAAAACCTGGTTCAGTCTGCTTTCTACCAGACACTGGGAGATTAATTCACCTTTCAGCAAAACAATAACCTAAAACACAAGGCCAAATCTACACTGGAGTTGCTTACCAAGAATACAGAGAATGTTCCTGAGTGGCCGAGGTACAGTTTTGACTTAAATCTGCTTGAAAATCTATGGCAAGACTTGAAAATGGTTGTCTAGCAATGATCAACAACCAATTTGACAGAGAAAATAATAATGGGCAAATATTGTACAATCCAGGTGTGCAAAGCTCTTAGAGACTTACCCAGAAAGACTCACAGCTGTAATCACTGCCAAAGATGATTCTAACATGTATTGACTCAGGGGTGTGAATACTTATGTAAAATTGATATTCCTGTATTTCATTTTCAATACATTTCCTAACATTTCTAAAAACATGTTTTCACTTGGTCATTATTGGGTACTGTGTGTAGATGGGTGACAGAGAACAAATATATTTAATCCATTCTGAATTCAGGCTGTAAGACAAATAAATGTGGAATAAGTCCAGGGGTATGAATACCTTTTGAAGGCACTGTATGATTGAAGTCTGAAAAAAATCTAATCTTCCTCCGGACTTTCCACGTGACAAAAGAACACAGAACAAGGAAATTAAATATAAATGTTACTGAAAGCCAGGCTTGTAAGCCCTTCTGCACATGTAATTCTAGACATATCGGTGAGAAAGAGAGACTGAGAGAGACTGAGAGAGACTGAGCGAGACTGAGCGAGAGTGAGAGAGAGTGAGAGAGACAGAGAGACTGAGAGAGAGTGAGAGAGAGAGAAAGAGAGAGACTGAGACAGGGAAAGAGATGGACCAAAAAGTGGAAATTGGCATCTGTCATACTTATGACAGCCAACTCACTGGAGGAAATATCCACCAACATAATGGGGACAACACTGAGTTGGTGGCCCTTGTGGTAATATGGTAATTTAGCAGAGATAATTGAATTCACTATCACATAGCTGCACTTACTCATTGAAAACAAGGTCCGGGGCGAAATAGAGCATTTTGCCATTGACATTCTTGTAGGACCTCCATCCCAAGCCGAACACCATCACCCCCATCCATGAATGCTGGATGACTGTCATCTGGTCATCCACATGCAGATTCCGAAAACCTGAGAAGAAAATGAAGAATCGGAAATCGGAAATGGATAACTATCATTGATTACAATATAATTATTATGAAAACATGATACATGCCTTCACTACCTCCAATTTGCTGCAATGCCATTGCAAACGTGTTATAAATCAAATGATGACATCTTCTAAACAATTAACTTATCAAGGACAACATGGAAATAAGTTTCATATTCTTCTTCTAGTCCAGCACTGTACCTGGCAAGCCTTTGGCCCACTTGACCACTTTGACAAGTTGGCGCTCCCCGAGTTCGTTGAGGCTGGTGAGCAGTGCTGCAGCGGAGTCCGGCTGGCCTTGGTCGTGTCCCGCATTTACCACCTCTGGCTCGATGGACTCCAAGATGTTAAGGAACACCAGCTGGGAATGGAAGCTCAGGCCAGATTGAGGAGAGACGCACTGGATGGCATCAGTGGGGCCTTGGGTGGGCAGATCCTCCTCCGGGCTCTTCAGCTGTCCAAGCTTCTTCAGTTTACGTGCTACATAAGGTCAGGAAATAGGACATGGATGAGTAATGGTAAAAGAATAGTGTAATATTTGGTGCAGCTATTAAACAACTGCCAAATCAGAGGAAAGGAAAACGTGAGAGGAATGAAAGTTTAAACATAACAACAGAACAACAACAAAGAAGAAGGACGTACCAAGGGAGAGCATACTCTTGACAGGTGAGACTGTAAGAAGATATGTCACACTCTAAGCTATAGTGAAAAGACTCCTTTTTGTTTCAAATAATATCCCATTCAAAGTTTTATTATGATAGACAGTGCATTCGGAAAGTATTCAGACCCCTTTACTTTTTCAACATTTTGTTACGTTACAGCCTTATTCTAAAATGGATTGAATAAAAAATGTCCTCATCAATCTACAAACAATACCCCATAATGACAAAGTGAAAACAGGTTTTTTGAAATGTTTGCAAATGTATTAAAAAAAAAAAAACGGAAATATCACATTTACATAAGTATTCAGACCCTTTGCTATGAGACTCGAAATTGAGCTCAGGTGCATCCTGTTTCCATTGATCATCCTTGAGATGTTTCTACAACTTGACTGTGGTAAATTCAATTGATTGGACATGATTTGGAAAGGCACACACCTGTCTATATAAGGTCCCACAGTTGACAGTGCATGTCAGATCAAAAACCAAGCCATGAGGTCGAAGGAATTGTCCATAGAACTCCGAGACAGGATTGTGTCAAGGCACAGATCAGGGGAAGGGTACCAAAAAATGTCTGCAGCATTGAAGGTCCCCAAGAACACAGTGGCCTCCATCATTCTTAAATAGAAGAAGTTTGGAACCACCAAGACTCTTCCTGGAGCTGGCCGCCCGGCCAAATTGAGCAACCGTTCTTCTGTGGAGATGGGAGAACCTTCCAGAAGGACAACCATCTCTGCAGCACTGCACCAATCAGGCCTTTATGGTAGAGTGGCCAGACAGAAGCCACTCCTCAGTAATAGGCACATGACAGCCTGCTTGGAGTTTGCCAAAAGGCACCCAAAGGACTCTCAGACCATGAGAAACAAGATTCTCTGGTCTGATGAAACCAAGATTGAACTCTTTGGCCTGAATGCTAAGTGTCACGTCTGGAGGAAACCTGGCACCATCCCTATGGTGAAGCATGGTGGTGGCAGCATCATGCTGTGGGGATGTTTTTCAGCGTCACGGACTGAGAGACTAGTCAGGATCGAGGGAAAGATGAACGGAGCAAAGTACAGAGAGATCCTTGATGAAAACCTGCTCCAGAGTGCTCAGGACCTCAGACTGGGGTGAAGGTTCACCTTCCAACAGGACAACGACCCTAAGCACACAGCCAAGACAACGCAGGAGTGGCTTCAGGACAAGTCTCTGAATGTCCTTGAGTGGCCCAGCCAGATCCCAGACTTGAACCTGATCGAACATTTCTGGAGAGACCTGAAAATAGCTGTGCAGCAACGCTGCCCATCCAACCTGACAGAGCTTGAGAGGATCTGCAGAGAAGAATGGGAGAAACTCCCCAAATACAGCTGTGCCAAGCTTGTAGCGTCATACCCAAGAAGACGCGAGGCTGTAATCGCTGCCAAAGGTGCTTCAACAAAGTACTGAGTAAAGGGTCTGAATACTTATGTAAATTATATATATATTATCATTAATTTTGTTATAAATTTGCAAAAAATCTAAAAACCTGTTTTTGATTTGTCAGTATGGGGTATTGTGTGTAGATTTGAGGAACAAAATACAATTTAATCCATTCTAGAATAAGGCTGTAACGTAACAAAATGTGGAAAAAGTCAAGGGTTCTGAATACTTTCCGAATGCACTGTAAGAGAGCATAGAATTCCTTCAAATTTGAATGATGGAATTGTGGTACTGTGGCACTGCAGCTGTGATGGGGTTATGGTCCATTTAAATTCAAGGCCCTGATCAAACAGAACTAGTATCAGGAAGGTTGGTGGCAAAACAGCAATCCTTTCTGAAATGTGAAAATGAAGGTCTGGATTAATAGTTGTTTAGATGTTTACATTCCACATTCTGATCTTAAACATCTTCCACTATCTAATCTCATTCCAGGTTACTATGGAAGTGGAAAATGTTTCCATGTAAACATAAATTCCAGTTTAGCATTTTTTTGTAACACAACAGGAAGAGAGTAGAAGGAGACTAATACGCTAGAACAGCGTGGTCTTCTAATATGTACTTCCAAAATTGAAGGCCAGTGCATATCATACACATCACACTCTTATCATGTTATGTTCCTGTCCTAAATCATGTTGAATAAAGAGGACCTCTTTATTGTACAGAACTGCTCTATTCTGAATATAAATATTTTCAGATGCTAGGAACTCTGCTTTAATTAGCTCAATCATTTCGGTAGTATATGGTACAGTAGTATACCCACAATCAATAACAACCACCTAAACTCATTTGGATATAATCGGAAGTCAACTGCTAAAGAAACTGCTTAAGATAAAGATGGATTAGGCAATGTCTCAAAATATTATTCCTTCACTGACAACAAAACTACAACTTTATTGGCGATAAGGAGATACGCTAGTATTATCGTAACTTGCGGGGGAATAAGAGAAAGGTCAATTTGACCCCCGCAATACAATACCATGATGAATTTGATGGATTGGAAAATATTTTCCCACCGTAGCTACTGGCTTTCTGTGGCTTTACACTACGCAGTACTACTCAATTCCTCATTTTATGATTGGATCCCCCAATTATGCTTTTGATTTGGCCCCGTCCTCAGAGGCCGTGGTTTGTGAAGGGTAATCACCCTAAGAATACTTTCAGAACCATATTTATATTTGATTTCAATTGAGAAAATCTATAAAATATATTGGCCCACCCTAGTCTTTATTGACAGAGTTGCATGTGACATTGCAAAGCAGTAAGCTGGTTTATTTCACCTTTATAAATGTTTTCGTGTTGACTTCAATATGGAAGGGAATTTAATTTATTTTTAACTATTCGGTTAGTTAAGAAAAAAATCGTATTTACAATGACGGCCTACAAAACCAGGTACTGGTGTTTGTATGTGCTGTTTCTTGATGAGTAAAAGGTATTCTTATACTATAGTTTTGTGCAACAATAGTAGCAGTTCATTCAATTGGGGGAGGTGAGGGGACATGGGGGGAGGGGGGCATAGGATCTTCCCCCATGATGCAAGGGGGCCATGTCTGAAAAAGTTTGGGAAGCACTGATCTAGCTAATGATTAGCACAAATATAGATGAGTAACCCCATGCTTCAGCCTATTTATCTATAGCCACTATGCTGCATCAGTTGGGCTACAGGTGACCATTCCAAATCAAATCAAATCAAATCAAATTGTATTGGTCACATGCGCCGAATACAACAGGTGCAGACATTACAGTGAAATGCTTACTTACAGCCCTTAACCAACAGTGCATTTATTTTAACAAAAAAAGTAAAAATAAAACAACAACTAAAAAAGTGTTGAGAAAAAAAGAGCAGAAGAAAAATTAAATAACAGTAGGGAGGCTATATATACAGGGGGGTACCGGTGCAGAGTCAATGTGCGGGGGCACCGGCTAGTTGAGATAGTTGAAGTAATATGTACATGTGGGTAGAGTTAAAGTGACTATGCATAAATAATTAACAGAGTAGCAGCAGCGTAAAAAGGATGGGGTGGGGGGGCAGTGCAAATAGTCCGGGTAGCCATGATTAGCTGTTCAGAAGTCTTATGGCTTGGGGGTAAAAGCTGTTGAGAAGTCTTTTGGACCTAGACTTGGCACTCCGGTACCGCTTGCCGTGCGGTAGCAGGGAGAACAGTCTATGACTAGGGTGGCTGGAGTCTTTGACAATTTTGAGGGCCTTCCTCTGACACCGCCTGGTATAGAGGTCCTGGATGGCAGGAAGCTTGGCCCCAGTGATGTACTGGCCAAGCAGTTGCCATACCAGGCGGTGATGCAACCAGTCAGGATGCTCTCGATGGTGCAGCTGTAGAATTTTTTGAGGATCTGAGGACCCATGCCAAATCTTTTCAGTCTCCTGAGGGGGAATAGGCTTTGTCGTGCCCTCTTCACGACTGTCTTGGTGTGTTTGGACCATGATAGTTCGTTGGTGATGTGGACACCAAGGAACTTGAAGCTCTCAACCTGTTCCACTACAGCCCCGTCGATGAGAATGGGGGCGTGCTCAGTCCTCTTTTTTTTCCATTCTTATTGCTAAATAACACACCAGCCTGATAATATGGACCAATATGTTGTTATGCTCATTTTTGGAGGGGAAATTACTTTCTGAACTGTTAGAGTTAGACCAACAGTTTAAAGCAATACAGAAAATATTGGTATTTCAGTTGTGGTTGGGATACATTGACCAAATTATCAGGAACGTTTTTGATGTATTTTACCTTCAAAATTCAAAACACAATTCATTTCACAGCTATTTCTTTAAAATAAATCTCCAAGGAGGGCACACCCCTGGACCCCCCTAGAAAGGTGTTGACCCTGGAACCCATTGACCATGAACCCCCCCCCCAATATGCAACGAAAAAGTTACATATTGCAACTTGCTACAATCTAGCACGCTATATGCTACCATCTGGCAGACAGCGACGTACAGGTGCATCAAAGCCGGGACCGAAAGACTGAAAAACAGCTTCTATCTCCTGGCCATCAAACAGTTGAACAGTAATCACACCACCTCCTGTAGTAAGAGTGAGACAAAGATAGACTCACTCACGCAAAATACACACACAAGCTCACACACACAATGTTAGGAATTGAAAACCGGTCGAGGTGTGGAGAAATGCTCGATACAAAATATAAGGCGAACAACTTCTAGATTTAAAGGTTTAATAGTCAAAGACAGACATAGACAGACACATTCCTCTAAGAGTTTCACAGCAAATCTCTCCCCCTCCAGAGGGGAGGGCAGACCTAAATAATCTTGACTTATCTGTTCACAGTTTCACCCTTCCGTGCCTGGTACCAAAGCATTAAATCAAGGCTGAGACCTTGGGGTTGAATA